TCCAAACTGAAACCGTTATCTGTCCCCCTTCAAACCTTCTCCTTCTGTATCTGTGGTTCATTAAGATTATCATCGTCTATCTAGAAACCCAAGAGTTATCTTTTCATTTTTATGCCCCTAATCCCTTACATCTTCTTAGGCAACAGATCCCTTCTGTTCTGCCACCTACTTGTGTCTAGAAGTAGCATCTTTCATTTTCCCCATTCCCTCCTTCCCAGTCAAGCCCTCATCGTATCTGAACTGGTCTCCCAGACCCAGATCTCAGCACCGTCCAGTACAAACCTCAAGTGCCTCAGACTGAAGCCCCTCAACTCCTTGCCAACACATCTGCAAATGTTGTCTGTGTCACCCACAGGGCTGAGAGCTCCAGCGGGGCAGGGGGAGTCTGCTGATTCACCTTTGTGTTGCCAGCACATGGCATAGAGCCTGGTAGATCAGCTGCAAGTAAATCCAAATGCTATTCATCCACCCAACTCATCCATCTATCATCCAACCTTTCAGTATGTATGTAGTGAGCTCCTACAATGTGCAGGTGAATGAGAACATGATAGTGAACAAAATAGATATTGCTGTCCTTATGTTGCTTCTTCCACCAATACATGCATCTAAATCTTTATAAAGAAGTTTTACAAATGTACGAAGTCAAATTCATCAGTGTTTTCCTCTATGATTTGTGCTTTTCTGCATTGCTTAAGAATTCTGTCCATTCTGAACCATAATACAAATCTCCCATTGCACAATTTTGATTAAGTATTTCAGGCTTGGAATGAAACTACCTGAGTTCAAATCTCATCTATGCCACTAAAAGCTGGCAACTTAGTTAACTATGCTGTGCTTCAGTTTGATCATTCATACAGTGGGAATAATACAAGTATTTAACTCATAGCATTGTTTTGAAGATTACATAAGCTAAAACGATTAATGTATGTGGAATGGTGCCTCATAAATAGTAAGCTTATATTATTATAGCTATTTTTTTTTTTTTTGAGACAGAGTCTCACTCTGCTGCCTGGGCTAGAGTGCCGTGGCATCAGCCTAGCTCACAGTAACCTCAAACTCCTGGGCTCAAGCAATCCTCCTGCCTCAGCATCCCGAGTAGCTGGGAATATAGACACGCGCCACCGCGTCTGGCTAATTTTTTCTATTTTTAGTTGTTTGGCTGATTTCTTTCTATTTATAGTAGAGACGGGGTCTCGCTCTTGCTCAGGCTGGTCTCGAACACCTGAGCTCAAGCAATCCTCCCTCCTCAGCCTCCCAAAGTGCTAGGATTACAGGTGTGAGCCACCATGCCTGACCTTATAGCTATTTTTTATAGCTACAATTAGTTATTATGGCTAATTATGTTTGTTCTTTACAGTTCTCTCTCTAATCCATCTGAAATTTATTTTTGTTTATGGTATAGTTGAGAATCCAATTTTATGTTATTTTTCATATGGAAAACCAGTTGTTGCCAGACTCCTGTTTAAAGTCTTTCAATAGCTTCTCTTTGCTCTAGAACCATAGTACAATTTCCTATTTAATCCACTGTGCTCTATGGTATCTGGCTCTGTCTGTCTTTCAGATTGCTCTTTTTTTTTTTTTAACCACTCTCCATTGCTGTGGTACAGACACTCTGCCCTCCTTCACGGTCTTGGAGCCCACCAGCCCCCTTTTCTCCACAGCACCTTTGCACTTGCTATTTTCTCTTCTTGGAATGTTTTGCTCCCTGTTTTATAGGGCTGCCCCAGGTCATTCTGGCCTTCCCTGATCACCCAATAGAAATGGTATCATTCTTCCTTCCTTTACAAACCAAGGCAGTCTCTATTCTATCATCGATTTATTTATTTTGTTCCATCATGTTTTATTTATCACACTTATGACCTGAATTTTGCTTTGATAAATCAGTTTCTTCACCCACTAGAATGTAAGCTCCATTGGAACAGACACTCTTGCCTGCTTTATTTGCTGCTGTATGCTCCGAACCTAGATCAGTGTCTGGGAAATAGTAGGTACTTAGTTACTTCATTGAGCAGTCTGTCCCTTTCTCCTGACCTAAGCAGGCTTGCTTTTTGTAGGAGGATAATTCTAGCGATAGCATGGAAGGTTGATCTGAGGTCCCGCAGTGATACCTGTGATGGGGACTTGCTGGACAAAGGCAAGGATGGTGGAGGGGGAGATGTCCGGGAGACCTGGCAGGCGGCCCCTGCATTGGTTTGTGTGGACTTGTATGAGATCGAGGTTTTCCTGGCTCAGGGCCCTGACGTTGGCCATGCTCCATGCCTGGAATCACTTTCGTGGGCTTATCCTTTCCATCTCACATCAAATGCAGCCTGCTCACAGAGGCCTTTCTGGACCCTTCCATGTAAAGTGGCTCTCCAGAGACTTGGTGTGACATCGAGACGCTGAATACTCTGGGACTTTAAACGTGCATATCCAACATTTAAAGGTGAGTACTAAGGCTGTTAGAATAAGTGCACCAATGAGGCAGGAGCTCTGCCTTTCTTCTCTCACTATCTCTCAGCATCTGGCACATAGTACGTGCTCAGTAAATATTTACGAAATGAATCAATACACTTTTTCTGTCGTTTCTCCTGTTTTTCTGTTAACTTGGTTTTCTACTTTGATGTTGCAATGATTTATCTTTTTCCTCTGGGCCTGAGCATGCAAATCTGTTTGCTTTGAAGACACTCTGCCAGGTTGTGGCGCTGCGTATCTCCGTGTCAGATGTCTGCCATCCTCCCCCTGCCACCCCTTTTTGGGCTGCTTTGACTTGGAGGACGTCCCTTCCTTGTTACCCTGCCATCTCTTCAGAAATTCACAGTCACAGGCAAGCCTTTGGTCGGGGAGGAGCTCCAGTGTGAAATCCCGAGACTTGACAAACACTGGTCCGATGCAGGCTCACAGGACTACGGGTGACAGAGAGGTGTGAGGATTTCAATCACATGACTCATTTATTTAGTGCTTACTGTGTGCAGGAAGCTGCAGTGTATGCCAGGGGGGACACCTCAAAGCTAAATGTGCCCCAAAGGTCAAGGGGTGCAGCTGGGCAAGATGATTCCACTCCAGAATGATCCTGTAATGACACCAGGACATACAGATGGAGACATGTTGGAAAAAGACGTGATGCCTGGTAGACAGTTGGCTTTGGAACACCCGAGGTCCGGCCTTGAGATTTTAAGAGTCATCTAGAATAAGAGCAAATATACAGAATGGCATACGGTAGGTCCTGAATCATTCTTAAAAAATGAAAAGGATCATAGTGCAGATCGTATTCACAGAGGTAGGAAAGTGGACCTATGACCAATTATTTTTTTAAACAGTGACAAGAAAGAGTGGTGTACATCTGGCTCACCTTAACTAGGGTATCAGAATTCTCCACTCCCCTTACTGAACACTTGCTAAATGTCCACTATGTCCTGGAAGTGGCAGTGCAAGCCTGAATGAATTGTAATCAGAGACCATTTCATAGGTGGCAGAGAACTTACCAAATCGCTGAGCTCTGGGGCTACAGTTTCCCTGGATAGCCCAGGTGAGAAATCCGGATCTGTGATCCAAAGACTCAGAACAAACATCTCTTAGTTCTGAGCCTTTGCACACAGAATGGAGCTGTTGCTGACAGCTCTGGCAAAGGAGAAGAAGTCCTCCCGATGTGGTAAGAAAGGAAGCCAGGGTTTGGGACCAGGGTGTCCAGGCTCTTTCCCATACTTGCCCCCAGGTTGCCATCATGACTTTCTGTCATGCACAAGAGAGCAATACCCTAGAGCGAGCTGAGACCCTTTGACACAGGGGAGTGGCAGGCACCAGCAGGCATTTGCTGAAGCGATATGTGGTCCACAGGAAGCCTTTGCTCCCTCCTCTGCCTCCTGTACCCCAAAATACTCCCAGCAGGCTCTTGGGTTTGCAATGCCCACCATGGGAATGAAGGATGGTTTGGGGCTCAAAACTACAATAGGTAGCAAGCTTATAAACAGTCCTAGGAATGGGGGGAATATTAACCCCACACACAGGAAGGAGCGAGGTGGTTAGAAATAAGCAAGTCAGTCCCTGGAGAACTAGGGAACAGGGTATTTATAATTGCACAGATGGAGTGGGGCAGAAGGAGAAAGCTTAGAAAAATCTCAGAAAACAAGGCTGGGTTGGGTGGCAGGTGTTATAAGAGGCCATCTGTGCGTTTTGGGGTGTCCTGGAGTTAAGGGGCACAGACAAAAAGGAGACAGGAGCATGCCAAAGAAAACCCTCACTGCCTCACTTTTTGGAAATTAAAGCCATTTGCTCTTAGACATCCTGCTGGGGTGGCACCCCCTTCGGACACCAAGCAGATGGGTTTTCCTCATGGCCTGGGGCGTTGTTTGAAGGTTGCAAATCTTCATGGGCGTGCTTGGCAAGTGTGGGTAGTTGCCATCAAAATCTCCCAGGCTTGTGAAGATGGTGTGTTAGCATTAACAGAGCGTGTAGCACTTGCTGGGACCATGCTCAATCCCTCATTGAATCCCTAAGACAACCCTGTTAATAGGTTCTATGCTATTATCCCCCATTTCCTGATGTGGAAACAGGGGCACAGAGAGTCCAGCAGCGTCCTAAAAGCCATCATGGAGCTGGGATTCAAACCCAGGTCCTTTCCTGCAGAGTCGTTGACCCTAACCACTACACCAGGGGTCCTCAAACTTTTTAAACAGGGGGCCAATTCACTGTCCCTCAGACTATTGGAGTTGGAGAGTGCGGCGCACATTCCACACATGCGCACTGTGGGCCCAGGATGAGTCAGCTGCCACGCAGGACAGGCAGCGGGGGCAAAAACACCCGGCGGGCCAGATAAATGTCCTCAGAGTGCTGCATGTGGCCCACGGGCCGGCCGTAATTTGAGGACGCCTACACTACACTTTTTGGTCTGATCTTTAGGCATATTCTCCTTCCTACACTGGTGCATTGACTGCTGGAATCCCAAAGCCCTGGTTATGCACCAGGGGTATATAAATTAGCCATTCTTGACCTTTGCAAATACCAAATGAATTTTAACAAGCTTTTATATAAAACCGACCTTTATTACAATTTAAAAAGAACAAAGACAATTTGATAAGTGCCTTTAATTACAATGTACCTGCTATTTACATGTAATTATACTTTTATATACAGCTTGAATAAGGTTCATTACATGTAAACTATAAGATATTACAAGTTAAACTCCAGCCTTTTCCGAATATTTAGAATTAAAATACTACTGGCAGAGACACACAGAAAACAATATCCATTTCAGTTCCTTAGGTACCATTACTGGATGAATGATGAAGATCTGGCCACAGAAGAGAATTGAAAATATGCATCAAATCGAAACTTATTCTTAATGTGACTTACAGTATTGCTATTATTTAAACCCTAAACATAAATTAATAATTGAATCACTAAGAAAACACAACTTTAATTTATATAGCACCTTTCTTCCACCTTTCTTCAAAGCATTGTACTTGTCTATATTATCTCATTTGTCCCCATAACAGCTCTATGAGGTAGGCAATGGTTGGTATATCATTATCCCCATTTTGTATATGGAGAAACTGAGGCACAGAGAAGTTAAATCATTTGCTCAAAGTCACACAGTAAAGTCAACACTGGAACAGGGTTCACAGCCCTGTGCTCTTGTCTCCAACACCAATGCTTCCCTTTACATTGTCCCATTTGAGAATTCAACAACTCAATTCACTTCAAAGAAATAAAAAAAAAACATGCATTTTTTTCTCCCATAAAAATTGTTGAAATACTATAGGCGAGAAACACTCTGGGATGGATGGTAGACTGATGCTACGCTCTTAGAGAAAAAGCTTATGGATGTTTTTATTTGTTTTGCTTTTTTAATATGAGGAGTTTCTTTGCCTCACTAAAACAAAGTTAGAAGTCTTTAGAAGAAACATATTTGAAAGGATGCTTCCAGTCACCCACAAATTATAGCTTTACTTGCCACATTATGTTATCCACAAACCAGCTTTATTCCTGAGTTTAAAAAGAAGAAAATATCTAAACAGTAAGCTAAATCATTGAGATAATTTTCCTCATTTGTACATATTTACTGTCTACTCCCTGAGATTCAGAGTGGCAGATAGGGAGTCCGGATAAGACATTTTCCAGAGTGACACACAGGGACAGGAAATCTTGTCTGTGTCACTTAGTCCAAATTTTGCTTCTAGTCTCCCCTCCTGCTCCAGAGTCAAATATGGAGTTGGTACTCAGAAATAAAAGATGATTTTTTTTTTTTTTTAAAAAGTGTCAGGATCTGAAGCATACAGAATGCTCACAAATGTGTGTTAACTTGAATGTAGAATTCAGCCTTTCTGATGCTTTTTCACACTGCTGCTCCCCAAGAGACAAGCATTGCCACGGGGCACTGTGTCTTCCAGGCCATCAGTAGGCAGCCACAGAGCAGCACATAGACATTTGGGTTCTAGTATGGCTCCAGGGAAAACAAGAGAAGCCTATGGCTCCTTAGTGTCAACCATTCTCACGAAAGAGGGGAGCAAGAGGGTGGACATGGTTTGGCAAAACTCATGACAAATACCACCAGCATCTGCTTCCATATGTGGACCTGTGGCCTGTTCTTGGCAGCCTGTGAAGCAGGGAAATGTAAGGTGGACAGAGCTGTCTGCTGGTGGGATCTTAATTATGGGAGACTTGTGATCTGGCCTGGAAAAGATGTAATGGGACGTCCCATGCATGAATGGCAGACACAGAGGCGCTGGGGTGGGGAGGAGACCCAGAGGCAGTGCTGTGCAAAGTAACAGGCCATGTGTGCTCAAGTAGCCAAAATAAGGGGGAAGAAATAGTGACTTCATACATTTATCCTTTAGACTTTTAAAGAAGGACTGGAGTCAGGAAGGAGAAAAAAAAAAATCATAAGATGTTGAAGCTAATAAGAGATATTTTTGGACTTACAATTAAGGTTTAAAAATTCCCAACACTGAAAACAACTTTTCCACTCTTCTGTGAATTGAACATTTTGACCATTACAAAGACCTTTTGAGACAATGAGTAAAAATGCTATTAAGTGTCATGAATTATTTCTTAATATTTTTGAGTAAGGGGAGTACTTTAAACCCGATCAGGCCCACCTAATAGACAATACATCACTTTTGGGGTAACTATTTTTATGAGGAAAAAAATGCATGAACAAGGAAATGCCAATTCCTATTTATAATAGACTTTTGTTTGTTCAGCTATATTTCAAATTTCCTCAGAAAACGTGAGGTATGTTAATACAACACAATTATTTAAAAGGTAACCTTAAAATGTTTTACACTGTTGCCAATTTAACACACAGAAGTCTGAGGGATGACAATTATCAACATTTGTAATACATTATGCCAAATGATATGAGACGACCAGAGCACGATACATTTTTGAAAAATGCCCACAGTATGTAAGTGGCAAGCAAAGGAAAACCTTCCTGCATTAAGATACATGGTCACCAAAGTGAATGCTTTTTAAAAAATGTCTTTTTAACAAAAATTATATTTCTTATTTCACCTGATATTAAGAAGAATTTGAAATACTATTTCTAGGTTAAATAAAAAAAGAAAAATAACAAAATACTTTACAAATATTTGAGACTGGATGTAAACACAGGTGTTAAAATGAGGAGGAGGATAAAAGAAACACGAATGTTTGTTCTCTTCTGTACCATCATTTCTAAATTTAATTTGGTATTTCCAGATAAAGATTCTAATTTATCATTGTTGCTGGACTTATCTCTTTAAGTCAAATACTTTCAGTCTAAGTGTGCTCAACTTGTCTAATGCCACTGTCAGGAATAATGTATTTTTTTTTAAAGATATAATACAGAGCAAGAAAACACTACTACAGAATAAGAAATTTAGATTTCACTGCGAATAAAGCCACATTTGATATTATAGACACAATGTTCCTTTTTTCACATCAGTCACTTATTAACACCAAACATTACACTTTAACTTTTCCCAATTACAAAGTACAATAAGCCTTGTCAAGATTTCCAGGAATTAACCATCAGTACCGACTGTGCTTCCGGCAGCAAAGCTAGGCTGGCGGGGTACCAGAAATCAACACTTTTAGAAGAATGGCAGCGCTAGATTACATGAACTCCTGTTAACTATTACAAGGAGCACTGATAAAAAATGTCCTTTGCTCATTTACAAAGCCCTGCTTCAGTATTGAACTGAAGTTCTGTAATTATAGCCATGGCATCATCTCAGAACAGTTGTTTTGCACATCCTATTGCTTCACTGCCTGTTGATATTTCACACTACTTGTAAAACCTTGTAGTTTTTAAAGGGAATGAAACAATATCACCACGTGGTGACTGGCTTTGGCTATTGCTACCTGGCGGGGCACCTTGACCTTGGCCTGGCTCACTAAGGTTATTCTCTTGTTACTTTAGGCCAAATCTCTTCTCAGATACTTACCTGAGAAGTACACCTTTTTACATGTCCTTCTCTCAGGTTGACTATGTAGTGAGTCACATGTCTAACAAATCCGTCTTAAAATACCACTGTTTTTCAGCCAAGAGAATTATGGACACAATTTAAAATCTGATTGTATTGATTACAAAATTAAATGACAGCAACTCCAGGTCTTCCTGTAATTAGTAAATGAAAACTATTGGAGAACTGTTTCTTCTGATTCTGTTTTTCTGACAAAAGCTCATCACACTAGCAGGATAAACATTCAAAATACATAATAGAACATATCCTAATTAAGCACCAGAGTTGTGCCAGAGTCACCTATACACACACACACACACATACACATATCTGTATGTATGTATGTGTGTGTGTGTGTATATATATATATAGTTTATTACTGGTGTAGGTAAGTAAATGCTCTAATTAGCAAAATAAAAATCAAGAGAAATATAGTGACATAATGCGGTTAAATTTTAGTTCTTTAACTACTTACTATTAATTTAGCACTCAATTAGAATTAACTCTGGGATTTTGAGGGCAGATAAATCAGTAATTAGCCTTTTTCCCCACAAAGAATAGTGATAGTTTCAAAAGCTTTAGCAGACCTAATGATGTAATTTAATTTAGTTCAGAACAGAAAAAAAAATATATGTAGTCAAGATACTTGCAAAAATTATTTTCTTCTAGAATTTAAGATCTTCTCAAATATTTCCTATAAAACACATTGTACTTTCCTGCTGACTATATTTAAGAAATATTAAAAGTGGCACAAAAATACTTCTAAGCCTTCAAAATATCTGAATAAAATCAAAGACCCCAGTTTTAACCAAGATATATATATAATTCTGATTTATATGACAAAAAAATTTTCCTAAAATTTATCTTTTTATATAATTTCACATAACCTAGGTTACTATAATTGGATGTATAATATGGATGTCAAAGTTGAATTTTAAATATATAGTAAATTCTGTCTTTGATAATTATCTTTTAATACATTTAATCTCTACAGCATTTAGCTCAAGATGAAATTTTTTTAAAGAAGCCATGGGCTGTTGTTCAACACAAAGATTCAAGCACAGATACTGAACAAAGTAAATGTGATAATATTTATTAAAAACTGTAGTATGAGGTCAAACAGTAATGACACATCAATAAATACACAAAAATAGGTACTTTTCAGAAAAGTACCTATGCTCTAAAGAGCAGAGTCTTCTTTCTAAGGTTTGCTCCACTTCCCCAACCTTCATGAACTGTGCTATCATTTATTCTTTTAGGGTTTTTGCTGGAGGGCCTTATACCTCCTTTTAAAGTATACTTAGAACACTTCATACCACAAGTTATTCTTACCAACTGTTTCCCAAATTAGAAAAGATATTTCAGTGAATATTTTATGGCTATAACTGCATGGCCTATGTTTGAAAACTTCTGGGGAAAATTCTGATAACGAAATTTCAAGATGACACGATCACTTGTAATGAGTTTCTCTCTGCAGAAAAGGTTTTATACTTTAGATATCGTATCTACTTCCCTGGTGACAAATAAGACATGAAGTGCAATAAATTTTTTAAGCTGTAAGGTGTCTATAAAGGATGTGACTATGGCACGTACAATGCTAGGAGGGCAACGTGACGTGGCCATTCCCATGCACTGAAGCAACCCCCTGATGTCAGAGATTGCTGGGTCAGAGTCATTAATACAAAGTGGTGGAAATCACCGGGCAAAGCAGTGCTCATGAAAGATCTGAATTCAGAGAGGACGTGCCTTGCGCTTTATCAACTTCTCTTTAATCCAAGGGTATTCTGGGTATATCTTCTAATCAATGATGATCGTGCTTATGCACATGATGTCTTTGTGGGAGAGACTAGATTGACTGAAATATAATGACAACCAACCAGTTCACCCCAACATAAGCTCACTTTACAATTTCAGAAATGCAATACAGAGCGTCACAACATCGAGCCATGGAAAAACATGCCAGTGAGCTGGTCTCTACCATTTTCAAGATGCTTCATCTTTCTAATTGCATTCTTTGTCATAAAGAGGGAAAACAGCAAGATTATTAAATCTGAAAAGTCACAGATGTCACAGTGGGATGGAATAATTACCTCAGTTTTTCTTTATCAGTGTAGGAAAAGCTGCCTTTCCATAGCCCACACTTCGTAATAGCACTTCAACCAGGCGATTTTTAAAATGAAAAGCGAACAAGTTTTCCGATGTTGGCCTTATGAGATCTAAAGAGATGATTAAATTCAAACCAGGGCTGAACTCTAAATCAGAGTTATTTCGGCCACTGATTTTTGTAAAATGAAGGAAAAAAATTCCAATAGGGGCAATCTGCATTTGGCAAGCAATGGACTGCAGAATGCATCACTGTTTTCTAAAAAAAATGTAATTAAACATAAATGAAATTATGACGTTCATAATTCAGTCACCTCTCATCATATTTTGTTCTTCTTTTCATTTTACCATTTCACATATTTCAATAATGCCCACCACAAACCACTGAAAATGATCATTTCTGTCTATTCCACTACTTTCACCAGTGGTGTAGGTGATTTGGACCAGGAGCTCCAAGTACCATTTGAAACGGCGAGTCTTTAAAAACCTTCAATGTTTTAAATACTTGGTTAGAAAAAAGATAACAACTACTTGTCATCATCTAGCTTATGTGCTTTATGATGTCTTTTCAAAATGAGAGTATAAATCATCGTACATAAAATCAAAATAGTTAATATACATTTTTTTTTTCTGGCACTTTCGAGAAATTAGGCATTAAACATAAAACATCTTATAAATTTATATAACAAAAATAAATGTTTACACTTTAATCTCAGATAGATTACCTTAGGGTAGCAGTGGACTTACATGACCGCACACTGTGGGTGTGGGCAGCAGAGATCATGGGAATACAGATTCGTGTCCACAGCCCTTCAGAGACGGAGGCATGGCTGCTGTCCAAGTGCGTGGTCTGCGTCCCAACGTAAAGATTAAGGCTCTCTGTTTTGAAGGAATGAGCTCTGGGCTTAAACACGTATAGAAGTACCGCAATATTCATTGAAAATACTGAAAAGGCTCTCACGCGTTTTCAAACACTGGGGAAAAAAAAAGTTGTGACTAGAAAAATAAAAGGCAGCATCTAAAACGGACTTCAAGTACTTTGGGGAGAGGCCGCTGACGTAGTACAGTGCCAGAATAAGAAGGAACAAAGCCCGAAGAGACTCCAGGATGTCCCTCCTTCCTCCTGTCCCTCCAGAGGGGTCACATTCCCAGGTGCTGGCACACGGCTCTTGGAAGAGGACCGGCATGCTGCGCGGTGACCAGCGACCATGGCCTCTCACCATCCTAAAACACCTATGGGCAAGCCTCATGGGAGAATTTCCTTGGAATGAACCATTGAAATAAAAAAATTTCAAGGGGGAAAAGCCTTACATTTTAAAGTCAGTGGCAGACAGAGAAAAGGGAAGAGAGGAAGAAAAACCTGGCTCTTCCAAATGGCAGTATTTCAGGCCGGGGGAGCTGTGGTGGAAGGAGACCACGACACCAGGTCTTCTGTGGAGGGCGGGGTACGTAAGGGAGACGTGCCCAGGTGTGCCTGTCCCCCTTGGCAGGCGGGGACACCCTCGGGCGCAGCCAGCTCTGTGCCTCCTCTCTGTCTCAGAAACTGAAAAACTGGGGAAACGGTCCCGGCACCTCCAACTCTCTTCAGGTGACTAAAGCAGCATATAAGGTATAGGTGTGTGTCACCACTTCTCTCCCACAGAAGAAATGTCCCCGGATGCCGACCGCAGGCTGTCTGGGGTTGTCTTCCGGGTTGCTAGAGCCTGGTGATATCTCTGCCTTGCTGCAAGTCACTAATGCTCTCGTAGTCGTTCTCCTTTGGGACGCCGTGGTGGCCGTTGGTCCCCGGGGGGCCCTTTTCTTCCTCTCTGTTTAGAGTCTGTATTGCTTCGTAATCGGGCTCCGGCTCCTCGCTGGGTCTCCCTGCCGGTGGAAGTGTGCTGTGCGGAGCGTTTTCAAAGTCTTTCACAGTGGCATAGAGGTCATTGCAGGAGGAGGGTGACCTCTGAGGGGCCCCTGGAATGGAGGTGTAGGTGGACTCTGGTGCTTTGAGCAACTGCGCAGGTTTATTCACTGATGAGTACATGGCTGAGATCTAGGAGACAAAGGGACCATCAAATCAACAAGCTCCCAGCTGCAACGCCCCTCCTACCCCCACCTTTTTAGTGACAAGCTACCTACTTAGCACTCGTGAGCATCTATCTTTGTGTATGTGCCCCTTTAAGACCTGTTCTTTACTATCCGTACTAACTCTGGGGCACATGATAGAGGATAATTATATCCATTATCTTGCACTGTGTAAGCACATCAGTCATAGTCCTTTAGTGCCGAGAAAACCAAGTGCTCTCCAGTCTGCGGAGGGGTTTGAGGAGCAGGTGGAGTGGCCGTCCCTAGAAGCCCCGGGGCCTGATGGCACATCATGCTTTATCCCATTTCTACATCAGAATGCTATTGCACCCAAAAAGGGCTCCCGTGCTTTATAAACGAGGGCAGAAAACATACATTAGACCAGCGATTCTCAAAATGTGGGCTTCAAACCAGCAGCAGCGGGATCTGGGAATCTACCAGAAAGGCAAATTCCCAGGCCCCACCCCAGCGCCGCAGAGTGACACCCTGCGGGGACAGGCCCAGGTACAGGTGCTGACTCTGATCCAAGCACAGTGTGAAAACCACTGAAGTCAACGATTCCATACTTCCTGTATGGAGCTGGGCTGAAGGAGAGTTGCTGGATTCAGGCTGGCAGTATACATACATCTGGAAGGGGGCTGTTTTCCATTATATTTTGACTTAGTTGCAAGCTATTGGTTAAAGAGACATTTATGGACTGGGCTTACTTAGTTCTCTTCAGTGAGAAAAATTCACCTCTTACCTGCAGCCAGCCAACTCAGACATGAAACTTGGAGCTAGCTTATGGGACGATCTTTCCTATGGTGACAGCAGGCAGTTTCCAGGCACACCTTCCCTCCACAGCCTCACTAATAAATTCCATACAACCCCTAATATCAAGAGCAATTTAATTTTTGGGCAATGATAGATTAAATGCACTGATTGAGAGATTTTGGGGGGAGTACTATTTTATTGTGATGAATCATTGCTGGAAATAAGTAAAAAATACCCTTCATTATCTGTATTTATTTTTTGACCATAAGGGATTGGTTCAGTCAAACACCGAGGAAATAAGCAAACACGCTCCCTGGCAGATGCTCAGCTTCCACTGCGGAGGGACATTTCCCGCTGTCACTTTGCTCACATATTGTGGGCGAGGTTTCCAGCTGGCCTTGAGAGCTGCCTAGGCCGGGCCTGCTGCATGCTAACTGGTCGTCTGCAGGGGGACTTTTCACTACTGCCGGTGGCTCAGTTTTATAGGCCTTGGCAATCCAAGGGTTTATGGTCAGTGAAATGGTCTTTGGAGAACTGTTGCCATGTTGATCTGATGCATATTAAATTAACATTCTCACCTTAGAAGTTTAATGAAAAAAAAAATTGCTTTAAGAACAGAAGGATTGTAACTGCTTTGAATTTAGGAACAATAAAAAGAAAATCCACTGCTTTTTCATATGGCAAACATATGGAATTTATTATCTAAATTGGTAGTCCAAGCCCAAAATGTGGACAGATTATAGAGGGGTACACCATGGATGACATAGTAACATCAAGGACAAGCATGCCTTGGCCTCGACTGTAACGGCGACCCTCAGCCCCTCCCCACTGTCTCTTCCTCTCCTCGACTCCTTCCCCATGTTCCCTGCCATTAATGCCACCCTGACCCCTTCTGTAAGAGCACTTGGGTCTTCTTGGACTCTGTACTCTCTCTCCCTCTCTCTCTTTTTTAAATTACAGGCTCTTTCATTAACTTGCAATTTAATATTGGCTCTGGGAATGAACCCAATGTGCAGAGGGTGTCAGTGTACATTTCAATTTTTATAAAAGCTTCTTAAGTATTCTAATATTCCTTTTGACTATTTGTTTCCTATGACTGTTATTTTACAGGTTTCTCTTCAAGCCTCCTTGCTGCTACTTAGCTTTCCAATTTTTCTCTTTATGCCCTTCATCTTTATTATTCACTCCATAAATTGTTACTACACTCTCATAAGTTACTGCTTTTTCCATTTCTCTTCATTTTATAATCAACCTTTTCCCCATCGTTCCGTTATATTGGGCTAATAGTACTTAAAAGCTCAGAGATCCATTTCCAGCTGGACTATCTAACATTATATTACACAAATACAAAAATAAATGATTTCTATATTTAGTTTTCCTAAATCCTCTTCCTAAAATGAATGTTGGCGAACCATAGTTCTTTATTTTATGTTAAAAATTCATTGTATAACCAGGTCCTATTTTCAAAACCACAAACAAATATAAGAAGCAAAGTAATTTATAATTTTACATTGTCTTGATTTATTTTAAAGGACTGGCTTCCAGAACTCTTATGTGTTTTACTTGCTTGTCCCAAATGGGATCACTCTGGGTACAGTGCAGAAACCAGAGAGGAGGCGGCCAAGGAGCTGCAAGGGCCCGGCGGGAGGTGACTGCCCCAGCCTAGTGAGATGGGGATTGGGGGGGCGATGTGGAAGAAACAGTCTGGAGGTGCAGCTGAAGGGACTTGGCTACTGACTGCGTCTGAGGACAGTGAGGGAAAGGACGTTATCAGGATGACCCTTTGGGGGTTATGTTGTACAACCAGATGGACAGATGGCAGGTCCATTCCTGGGGGTTGGGAATATTACCTAAGGAAACACTTCTGCTCCTTGAATTTTCAACATGGGGGTCTACCTTCATATTTTAATACATTACACAGAGTCCTATATAGGAGGTGATATACCTGGATATGGACATTGCTCTTGTACATGTACAAAATTTACTATGCTCGGAATTCTAGATAGAAACCATATGCAGCTCAATCAATTAAGGTGTTTAGCTCTCTGAGCTTAGCTAGCTTGGCATAACATCTCTCTCTGTCTCTCTTTGTATATATATGTGTGCGTGTGTGTGTGTATGTATATATATACATATATACTGGCTTTTACAATTGTAATGCTTCACTGTAAGTCTAAACAGTGAATTTCTAGCCCTGGTGCTTGAGAATATACAGTCAGTTTTTGTTGGCTGTTATGACTGACCCTAGCTCCAGCCTGGAATTGTACTTCCTAAAGTTACCTGTTCTCTGCATCTAGAATGCCCCACTGAGACCTTCTCCCTCTATGTCTCAGGCAGGATCAAATTCCCTTACACCCAACTGTTCCAATTTACTGAATTTTCCAACCCATTATTAATTTCCTTTCGATGTGGTCTTCCTGACTGCTGACTAAGCAACCCTACTGGAATTTCTCTCTTCTCATTCTTATTTTCTCCCCTCCCCTTTCTTTTATATTGTGATCCTACTCAGTTTCTTTTCCTGAGCGTTCGGACCGGTCCATCCTGCTACCCACCCTGTCTTACCACCTTGCCGAGCACTCTCTCTGAGCCACTAGAAAGCCAACATCCCAAGTCTGGATCTCCAAACTCAGGCCTAGGAGAGTGTTTTAGCTCTTTTAGACAAAGGGTAATGTCACAGTGCATTTATTCAAGGGAACAACTCTATTTTTTTTTTTAATTCCAGGAGCTTTCTGCTATTTAAAAAGAAATGAAAACTTACTTCTTCTTCTGTGAGATTTGGGTCTTCTTCCCGAGACTTGTAGGACAATGAACTAAATCTCTGTCAGAACAAACACAAACCGGAGGGAAGTAGTTTAAAGTTATTGAATCCAACCTTTCTTTTGCATATATTTCCTCATATCTGTCTAAAAATGTTTTCAAATGATTTCTCTGGAATCACACAGAAATTATGTGAAGGACTGAGAAATAAACACATATACCATTATTATTATATGATGCTCTGGGATATCTAATAGTATTATACCTGGAGAAATTTCCTTTAGTTTTGCATTTGAATCTGTAGGTACAAATAAGTCAAAATAATTATTTAGACTACTGTTTCAATTTCTAATTGTCATGAAGAATTGATCATCAATGAAAGACTGGTAATTAACAAAACCCACAGTATTTCTTTCTTTTTTTTTTTTTGCATTTCTTTATCAAATGCTGGAATTCTATATTTCTACAGGTTGCAGGTATCATCAGGAAGATCCTTAAATCATCTGGAAACTTCAAAGCTAACAGAAGTTAAATCAGATCACTTTGAGGCGTTTTCCCCCTGCCTGATTTCTCAATGCTTTTGGTTCTTGGTTCGCTGGTTCTCTCTCTAGCACATCTCCCGTCTTAATCCTTGGTGACTTCAACAAACGTGCATTCTTCCAAATCCCCCAGTTCCTTGACCTGCTCCCCCACCTCCCCCCATGCTGGGCTCCATCCCCTGACCTCACCACTGCCTCTCCTGGATGCACAATGGCACCCTCTCACCCTAGACCCCAGCCCCTCCGGCCCACCACGCCAACTCCTCTCGACCCCCTTTGGACCAGCACTTGTCTTCAGGTTCCCCCCTTCTGTGACCCAGTTCTGATGCTCCTTCAATGCTGCTGGGATCCAGCCACCTTTTCCACGTCTCCCCTTCTGCTGATGTCCTTCCTTCCTGCCTTACCAAGCTTAAGCTCCATAGTGAACCATCACAGTCACGCTCCCTGGTCACTGGCGAGTTCAACCCTCACATGAGCCCTTTACATGCCTCTGTGCTGTCCCACGCTTCCCTGGTACACCCAGTCTCTGCTCGACCGGCGGTCTGCTTTGCTTCTCATCCTCTGTCCCTAACCTTCTAGCACCTTCTCACCCATCCTCAGTATGAGCAGACGACCTTGCTTCCTAGCTTGCTGAGAAAACTGAAGGCATCAGAAGAAATTTCTATGAACTCCTGTCCCCCTCACCAGCCTCTGCATCCGTCCAATTTCCTTCTGCCTTGTTACCACAAATGAACTTTCCAGGCTTCTCTTCACGACGATCCCCTCCTCCCACACATCAGATCCCATCCCTGCACACCCTACAAGTGAATTTAGCTCTAGCAAAATTCTCCTAGCACAGGATCACTCCCATCCACACACAAACCTGCTGCTACTTCTCTCATTCTGGAAACAAAAGACAAAACAAATGAACCCAATCCTACTGCCAGCTCTATCTATTGCCTCACTTCTTCAGAGCAAAATCTATTACGAGAGTTGTCTGTGAAGTCACTAAAATAATTTTTCTCCTCCTATTCTCTCTCTATCTCTCAACCTGTTTCAGTCACGTTTCTGCCACTCCATGGAGATTGGTCTTGTCAAGGTCACCAATGTGACTCATTGTTCCTGAACGGCTGCTGCATTTGCCACAGCGGTAGGTCACTCCTTTCGCCCTGGTCACTGTCTTCACTTGGCTTCCAGGACCTCACACTTTCCTATTTTTTCCTCCTTCGGTCTCTTCTGCTGGTTTCTTTTCCAGATCTCTACTCTCGGAACCCTTCTGGTCCTTACTGATGCTCACTCATTCAGGGACCTCATCCAGTCCCCTGGCTTCCAAACCACACTTCCGCCAATGACTCCCACATGTGCAAGGCCAGCTCTGGCCTTTCCACTCAACCCCACCCATCTATACAGCTGCTATCTGATGAGCTCTACTTGGACTCCAATCCATAACTCAAACTAAACACCTCCGACACTGAATGCCCAATCTTCTCCCCCAAACCTGCTCTGCCTGCATCTTCTGCAGTTCAGTTAATAACAATTCTGCCCTCCCTGTAACTCAGGCCCAGCCTTGGACTCATCACTGTCTCTTTCTCTCACTCTGCATGTGTATAATCCATTGGCAAATCTCTGGGCTCTAGCTTAGCTTCCCTCATCATGTCTGCTGCCTCCGCCCTGATCCAGGCCACCCCCATCTTTCATCTGCTTTATCAGCATGGCCACCCAAATGATCCCCAGCTTCCACCTTTTACAGTCTACTTAAAACTGGAGTCAGAGGGATCCTTTCTCGACACAGGTTGGGTTGTGCCATTCTGCTGCTCAAGACTCTCTGGTGACCTTATTATTGTTTAGACTGTAAGCCGAGCCACCCGGGATGGAGCCCTGGTTACCTTCTGCTCACTACTATCCTTGCTTGTGCCTCTCCAGTCACACCGGTCCCCTCCTCTTCCCTCACAAGCCAGGCAAGCTCCAGCCTCAGGGACATCACGCTGGCCGTGCCCTCCGATTCACTTGCTCTTCCCCAGAAAGTGCGTTCCTCACTCCCGTCCCTCCTTTAATTCTGCTCAAGTGTCACCTTCAGAGCTGGGCAGACCCTGACTGCTCTGTCCAAAACTATTCCCCACCTCTATTTCCCAATCCCCCTTATTCTATTGTTTTCTTATAAACTTTATGTCTATCTCTTCGCACTAAAACGTAAACTCACAGGGGCAGGAATTTTATTCATTTATATGTGTCATTCACTGTTATTCTTAGCACTCAGAAGACCAGGCTGCACACAGTAGGTGCTCATTAAAATCTTTCTGTTGAGTGAATGAACATTAAACACTTCAAACTCTCAATTCACTTAACACTCAAATTGTTTTTTATGAAGATGATGGATTACTCATTCTTCTTATACTGCAGAAAGAGAATTCAGTCCCCAGATGGGTGTTTCTAGTTTTCAATGTAAAATCTGGAGAACTGCTTACTAGCAATGGTTAGGCAACCGACTTTCTTATCTTTAAAATGCTTCTAAGTAAGAAAGCATTAACTGGTTTAGGCAGCATAAACTTTACATCAGTTTTATTATCTTTGGTTATATGAAAGGCAAAAACTTAGACTGCATTTTTACATTTTATGAATGTGTTCATAAATCCTTTTATTGTTGAAATCCTTTCAACAGCTGACTTCCTGGCTAATATGAAAAGTTGAAATGCATTCAGAAAGTAGCACAAAGCAGGACTTCCTTGGGCTAATCAATACAACCAGAGCCTTCTGCCCGTGAACTCCAGAAGTGTTTTTGGGCTACTAGTGACTAAATCCTACTTGCCCTTTCTAGCAAAACTTGAATAGAAGAGAACCTTGTCTTTTTTTGCTGTATAGAGAAAAGAAATTAGATATAATTGCCTGAAGTCCGTGGGCCTACTTAAACCTCAAGGAGATTTTGACAACCAGAGATGTGACATTCACTGTGGCTCAGATATTAAGTTGTCAGACACACACACAGAAGCCTGGGGACCACTAACACATGTCAGAGCTTTGGTGAATATCTAAATTTAAGAGTTAGAAGTTATTTCTTAGGGATTGTCACAAAATAAGATTTCCTATTGGATTTACATGAGCGCACACACAATCAGATATCACCCAGGGGCACGTGTGACCTGGGTCCCCGCTGGGCACGTGGCTACTCTTTGATTTCTGTGATGCTGGAAGGGTTAAAGGTCACCACGCTGCTTAGGCAGCAACAAGCGGGAGAAGTGAAACTTGCAGACAAAGAGTCTAGTCTCTCCGCTTCACTGTTGGTCTTCAAAATAAAGCAAATAACACTTGGCCCTAATTAGACATGATATAAAAATTGGAAAATATCCAAGTAAGGTGCGGAGAAAGAAATGTCCGATAAACATGAGAGCTTTCAGTGTCTTATTACTTGGAGGGGGAAAACAGCCAAACACAGTTTACATTAAAACAGCTTTCATCGCTGAACAAGTCTGGAAGTGTTTGTAGCTATTTCCCAGAACAATGTGCAAGTAAAATTAAAAAACACACCACAAAACTCCCAGGACTACAGATTCCTAATCTCGACAGCGGCCCATGAAACAGACACGCCGGAGCCCACCTTGTTGGTTTCAGTGGTCCTCTCCGTGGCTCTTTCTTGCCCTGCCTCTCTCCCTTCCTTCTCCTGAAGGTTTTCATTCTCATCCAGGAGTTTGACAGGGACAGGTGGCGGCGCCTCCTCTTCCTGATCACAGGAATTGCCGAGAAGACCCTCTGCGTTCACACTTTGGCGACACTTCTTGTTTCTGTCCACGGAGGCATACTCAGCGAACTCGGCCCTGCCCTCGGTGTGGGGCCCGGGCAGCTCCTTCAAGGTAGAAGTAGACTTGGACTTGCCTCCGTGGCCTTTCTCCAGGTGTGCGGCTGCCGCCACCTCCTTGATTTCTTTCACGGTCTCGTACAGGCAGTCCTCCACCATGTTTTCTTGGGAGGAGCTGTCCTTGAGCACTTCGTACGGCCCTTCCATGCCCGGCCCCGGGTCCCCATCCGCGCTTCTTGCCGTGAGCATGGTGTCCACCGCGCTCTCAGGAGGGATTCTGGGCAGCTCCCGACTCTGATGACACTTCGGCTTCCCCGTGCTGTCCTGGGAGTCCAAGAGATCCGAAGCTGAGGTCTGCACTTCCTCGTAGTGTTGCATGCAGGTCAGGGTGCTGTCCTCTGAAAGAACTAAAGCAGCACAAGTATTAACAGTGGGGAGGGACGAGTCCTTCAGTAATCATCACAGCGAATCAGAGAATGTAAAGTTAGGCTCAATCAAGACGCTCACTTTATTAGACTCTCGGCTGCAAATTACAGATATTACGACTGTCAGGTGGTATTCTTACTTCAATCGCAGTTCCAACCAAAGTCATCTATTATATCTTTCCCAATACAAGACTTAATAAATTGTCTTGGCTACAGTGTGGCTCACAGTTACTTTCCTTACTTATTATCACACCTGATGAGACTCTTTCGGGCAGAGGGGCCCGTGTGACAAGAGGATGAAAGTGGTATTCAGTGCGGCCAAACTGTGGGGACTGGACACTAGAAGGGGAACGTGTGTGGCAGCCACTCTCCCTGGCCCACTGGCCCCCGCCTGTGTGTGGAGGGAATTACTGGGAGCCACCCCACCCCCTCCACAGTCACCTGCTTGGCAGGCGGCATGGAACCAACGGGGCAAAAATGTACCCTTAAGCAGTATCACAAAGGGACTGGTGGCGCCCTGTGTCTTCCTGCCACCCCCCAGCTGCACAGTCCTACCTGCAATTAGAAAGTCCAGATATGAAATTCTTGGACTGGCTCAGAAATGTCACCATGTGAAGCCATTCAGTTGTCCCTTCATCAAGTATGTTTTGAGTGTCTACTACGTGCCAGGGATGGTTCAAGGTGCTGGGGACATGTCATCCAACAAAACAGAGAGTCCTGCCCCTAGCGTGCTTCTGTTGCGGTGACTAAGTTATTAAATTAGTGTCTCACTTTGGGGGGGGATTAGAAATAGTGTCCCTATTTTATCTATCTATACATACATACATACATACATACATACATACATACATACATACATACATATATATATATATATATATATATATCTAAGGGGTACATGGGAAAATGATAACAGATCACTCCACCCTTCTGAACTTAACCACAGCCACGTGTGTTCTAGATACCTAACCCTCACAGGGGGGTGAACTTCTGCCCTCTGGTCTCAGTCAATGGGCCACGGTGGACAGAGAACAGGCACTGGCGTCTGAAGACTCGGGTGTTGAAACTGACCACCCCACAGGTCGCTTGTCAGCAAGTGGCAGTCACAGGACGACCTCCGACCTCAGGTGAAAGTGCACTGTGAACTGTAAAGCACAAAGCAAACGTAGCTGCTGCTTTTGCAAGGGCATACGGTGCGTGAAACAGACACTATGCAGCGTGGCTCTGAGTGTGTGACCAAGACACAGATTGCCTGGTCCACGTTACAGCCCCTCAGCATGCAGACTATAGGATCTTAGGCAGATTATTAACCTCTCTGTGGTAGTCAGGACGGTCCCCCCCAAAATTGTCCACGTCCTAAACCGTGAACCTGTGCGGCTGTGTTAAGTTAGGTGGCAAGGGGAGGACTAAGGTTACAGATGGAATTAAGGTGCTAATTAGCTGACTCTGAGATGGGAGCGTGTCCTGGGGTATCAGATGGCCCAGGGTAATTGCAAGGGTACTTCTGAGCATAAGAGGGAGGCAGGAGAGGCAAAGGGAGGATGTGGAGAGAGAGAGGCAGAACCTTCTAGAAGCTGAGAAAGGTGAGGAACAGGATTCTCCCTGAAAGGCTCCAGGAAGAAACAGCCTCCCTGATATGCTGATTCCCATTTCAGACTTCTGACCTCCAGAATCATTAAGTTAAAACATCTTTGTTGTTTTAAGTTTGTGGTAATTTGTCACAGCAGCAGCGTGCCACAGTCTCCTCACCTTTAAACCGGGGACAGTAATAATACCTATCTTTCAAGGTAGTAACAATATTATTATGGAGGACAGTAATCTTATAGGGTTAACATAAACGAGTCAGCACACATACAAATCTTAGAGCAAGCAATGCCTGGCACACACAAGCCAATTAAAAAGTCATAGGTATCACTCACCCAAATGAGATTTTTTTGCTAAAACTGGTTGTCATGCTAAAAGCGAACAAGGACACGTTTCCTACTTTTTACGCTACATATTTTGAAACCTAGGACTTTCGTGGCTGATGGGGCCTGTGTTGCAGGCTGGCATTTTTGTAGGACTTACTGTCCCCGTTGGTGAGCGCCCCGTTCTGCTCGCTGCTGGCAGGTGCGTCTGTGGCCAGGCTGGTAACTGAACGGCTGAACATCTCCTTGTCTGAAGGCTGCAAAAACAAAAACAAAAATCCAACAAAACATCATTCTTAGCACTGCATCACACATTGCTAAGAATCTAGACTTCAGGGAAGCGAGGAGTACCCGTGGCTTTTTTTTTCTAAAAATTAAAACAGCGAAAACAAAAATCAGAATCTACTACAGTAGACCCCCTCTTATCTGCAGGGGATACATTCCAAGACCTTCAGTGGATGCCTGAAACCACAGATACGACCCAACCCTATGTGTGCTATGCCTTTTCCTATGCGTGCATAGCTACGATAAAGTCTAACTTACAAATTAGGTACAATAAGAGATTAAAAAATGATAGAACAATTACAAGAATATACTGTACTAAAAATTACGTGAATATGCTCTCTTTCTCTGTCACTCAAAATATGTACTCACAGAACTGTGTTCACCTATTTTTGGACCATGGTTGACCTTGGGTAACTGAAACCACAGAAAGCAAAAGCATGGATACAGGGAGGAACTACTGTATTTAGATTTAAATGAAGTGAAATAAGATAAAATTCAATTGAGTTTCTCGGTCGACAAGTCACATTTCAAGTGCTCAGTAGCAACCTGTGTCCATCTGGTACCATAACATGACAGTGTAGACACAGAACACGTCTAGCATCTCGGAATGTTCTAGTAGACAGTGCTGTCCCAGAACCTTAGGAGCACGGGGAATCTTCCATTGCCATCTGGACAGCTCCCCACCTGGTGATCTACCAATGGGCTGTAGGCAGGTTGTGAGATATCAGTCCCCGTAGCTTCAAGGCAGGGAAGGAACCAGAAGGCCCAATGCTGGTCAAAATTGACTCCGGCAGGGAACAGCAAAATCCCTGTAACACAGGTGCTGTAAAATGCTATCCTTAAAGATGCGCCGTGCCACGAAAAACATGGAAAAGCATCACTATTTGTCACCTGAAGGGAAAAGACTTAAATCTGGTCAAAGACAGATAATGCTACTGATTTCTGAAACTCTTTCAGAATCAGCCAAGTCTCTGGGTCCAAGATTCACAAAGACAATCACTGGCTGGAGCCCAGCTCTGCAAACCTTTCTTACTCCCACAGACAAACCCTGGGCTGGGGAACCCGGGGCCTCTGATTTCCAGATTATTCTTTTTTAAGCACCAAAGGAGGCAAGAACAGCTTCACCTTTCTCTGTCTCACCTCTTTTAATAAAAGGATTTGTTTTGTAAAATTTGAATTCAGTCAAAGGGCTGCACTCCAGGATCCAGAAGGCCATAGGTTCCCCATACCTGCTGGGCAGTTTCTTTAACACATTAACTGCCATGTGAGTTGTATTTAACTCACACTAATTCTGAGTCCAGGCCCTCGTGAAGTATATGTTAACTTACACGTCTCTTTACTTTGGGAGCCACATGAACTATTTTTCAAGTTGCATATAACTCACATGCAGAAAACAATAAAAAATAACAACCTTTCCATTAAATTAGAAAGGGTCATTTTGTTCTCGAAGTTTTTATTCTATTTTCATCATAAAACACTGTGGCCCCAAGGAAAAAATTTTTTTTCTGGTGTGGCTGTCACTGTGTTAAATACCCATTGGTCCCAGGCCACTGCCAGAGTCACTGCAGAGATGATTTGCTCCCCGTCCTATCCGTGGCCTGCATGACCCAAGAGGTTACCCCAGGCTCCAGGACTCCACATGGAGAGTTCTGAGTTCACACAGCACAGGAGCGACAGTTGGCCTCAGCAAATTCTCTGACAAATTCTCTGACTCCTAACTTGGAGCCAAACTGTGATAGACAGCAAGGAGCTCGTGCTGTGGCACAATACAAAGGTTTATCGGGAGTCGCTGTTGCAACGTGATGCAGCTCATATCTGATGAGCCCACAATGAGATGGGTCATGGTGTCAGGCTGCTGGGAACTTGAGGTGCAGGTGCGTCCCCTGTGCCACTTCCCCACCCATCTGCCAGAAAGGATGCTTCAATCAGGCAGGAATGGGGGTAGGTGTGGGGGCAGAAGGCTCTCAGGTGGGCTCCCAGCAGCATAATATAGGTTCTAACCACCATTTCCAATCTTAGTGTCTACGAGATGGGGAATCTGCAAGTTGCACAAGATTTAGGATCCGAAAAGCTCTTAAAGAGAGCTGGGTGGGCAAATGCGTGCACCACTGCCCGTGCAAGCACGTGTTCTCGTGCACAATCTCTCAGACGCACACACTCACATACGTGAGGCTGCTTAATTACGTGGCAGATGAGGAAGAAAGCATAGAGAGCCAGCCTCTTCCTCTTATCCACTGCCACTCTCTTCCCGCCTCACCCGGGGCTGCCGTGACCTCGAGAAGAGCAGCCGGACGTGAAGGTGTAGAGTGGGGGGGGGCTCTCACACTTGCTCATACATCAGAATCACCTGGAGCTCCTGGTGACAGTTCCTGCCCCCCCCCCCATCCTTGGGAGGATGCTCACCTCTAACAAGCTCCCAGGTGCTTCTGCTGCTGGCGTGGTCTGGGCCACACCTGGGAACCCCTGCTCTAGCAGGAAGTCACCCATGGAGGTGGCGGTCTTCCCCCAGCCCCATCTCACTGCCCCGCTGGCGCCAGGGAGAGAGCTGGGAGAGGAAAATCGGGGCTTGGATCTGCACGTGGGAGAAGCAACAGAGAGGATCTCCTCGTCCCTCCACGCTGCTCCTGGGGCCACCATGGCAGCAGTCACTGGGGCAGAGCAGAGGTGGCAGGAACAGATAAGAAGTGGGGACAATGTGGACAACCAGAGATGGGAATGGGGTGAGAAAAGGGGAAAGAGCGGAGCGGCAGATGGGCAACCTGGGTGTGTACATGCAGAAAGGAAGGGAAGGGGAGCCCTGGGGGGCCCCCAGGAGGGACAGGGAGCCTGACCACTTCCTGCCTGCGTGGGCTAAGAGAGTCCCTCGAATTTGTAGGTCAGGCGGCCTAGGCCAGAGGTACCTCCTGGGGAACTCCCAGTGTGTCTGTTGGCTGAGTGTTTTACACCAGACCTCGTGCTATGTTTTTGACTCCTTTTGTGCACCCTCTTTTGCCTCACCACGTTCATTTTGCTTGACCTTGAGCAATCATGTCCTGCACAGGAAGCACCTTCTGTTTTAGCACTGCCATGGGGCCCCCAGGACTCTGAACCCGGCCTTGTGAATGTGCGGGTCGGGGAGGGAACGCGCATCCCCAGCTGCTGGAATTGCTCAGCCACGTAAGGTGAGGTCCTAGCCCTGAGTCAGAGGACAGGGTGGGACCGGGCACTCTCAGGCTGTTCCTCACCAGGGTGGATGATCATCCACCTGAGGATTGTCAGGCCCCGTAAGGTGCTGGGGACACTCGAGCGAGGCCAGGCTATCCCTGGAGTGCTGTGGGCCCAGGCTCTGGTTAGTTGAGCGACCGACCCACTGTTATGGGTTGAGCTGCATATGTCAAAGTCCTAACCACCAGGACCTCAGAATGTGACCTTCTTTGGAAACAGGGTCACTGCAGATACAACCAGTTAAGATGAGGTCACACTAAGTAGGGGCCCCCAGTCCAATATGTCTGCTGTCTTTATAAAGGGGAACTTGGACACACAGCCAGACATGCATAGAGGGAAGACGATGTGACAGACGGAGGGAGAACACCTTGCAAGGAAGAAGGCAGAGATTTGCATGACGCACCTACAAACCAAAGAACGCCACCGACCTCCCGCAAGCCACCCGGAGAGAGGCCTGGAACAGACCTGCCCTCAGAAGGAACCGACGCTGCCATCACCTTGATTTTTGGACGTCTGCCCTCCAGAACCGAGACTATATCTATATGCTATTTAAGCCACCCAGTTTGTGGCCCTTTGTTATGACAGGCCTAGCCATTGGAAACACCAGTTGGAGCTGGGCAGAGGCAAACAAGAAACATCCCTGCGGTAGGCTGGAGCCATCTAAGGATCATTCTGGCAGCGGCAAAACCGCACCCGTGTCAGAATCTCTCCCAGCAAACCCGGCTAATCGCACGGGCCTCTGGCCACGGTGACTATAAACCTACAGGAAGAGGACACAGTCCAGGCAGTCACAGGTAACTTCAACTTAGTTCTCCCTCTTGGGTTCATTCGGCTCATAAGCATGTGACAATACGCTTCGATGCGTAGCTGATATCTTAGCGGGGGCACACGGACAGACGGACAGACAGACAGACACACACACACACGCATGTGGGCTCACCACGTTCATCAGGTTCTCATGGTCTCCGCTGTGCTGTCTCGGCTTCTTTTCCCTGAGATGGAAAATAAAACATTGTTGTAATGTCAAAAGTGCCCCCTATAATAAAAAAATACACTACCCTTTCCTATCCTAATTCTGACCACCATTTAAATCTCTACCATTTTAAAAACTATGTGTATTTTGTCCAAAGAGGAAAAAACTAAACAGTTACTTGACCACCTGTTTGCAGGTGTGAGGTGCAAGAGGTGGTCAGGCCACAGAAGGGACTGGTCACCTGTCTTGAGCAGCCCTTCTTCCAGGAATTAAAAAAACAAGCTCGCAGTGAGAGACAGAGGCAGGGTCCCGAGTAGGAACTGCTTAAACCCAGAAGACTGGAAGGGGCTATACCATTTTTTTCTTTAGAAAACCCAGACAATTATCTCATCTCACTTAGAGTCTTTGCAAAGTCACACACTGCAGAGGGATGGGGAAAATAAAGAAAATACAAAATTTTGGCATGCCAGGAAGAGTACATGCTCTCAGCATGAGTCATATGTACTTCCAGTCTATGGAAAAGTCTGTCAAGTAAAAATAGAATTTGTTTTTACTCAGGACAGTCTAAAGAAAGCCATCAGTTGTAGAAAATACGGTTCCCATGCACGCGCCATATAAGGCAAGAGTGACACCTAGTGGGAATGTTAGTAACTGCAGCAGCCGGCCGGCCCCGGCCAGGGCAGCCCACACTCCCGGCGGCCTTATTTCTTTATCTCCCTCTTCTGACCAGACGGACTCTGTCCCAGGCACGCAGGCCTGGGTCCAAACTGGGCAGGGATTAGGAGGCTACCTGGATTCAGAGGGTCTGCCTTTTCCCCTCTTGAAAGATTGTAGGGTGGGAAGCCCTATCAGACTTTTAAGTGACATTTGGAGTTTCTTCCAAGATTGAGAGTGAGTTTGGAACTGGGATGGAGAACCATCAGCTGGTCTGTGCAGGCTCCAAGAGCATCCATCCCCCAAGAATCCTGCCTGCTTTGCAACAGCTCCTGGGTGTCTCGCAAAATCACTCCTCATTAGAAAGAGCTTTACTTCTCTCTCTGAGCAAAGATCTATTTTTTTTTGGGTTACTGACATTTTATCTAAGACAGAGGAGAGAGACAGAAGTATAATTCTAAAAAGAGATACTGATGATTATTTCACATATAGCATTGTCTCTCTCCTAGGAAAACTAATCTGTTTCTTAAGAGGCTGCACTTTTACATTATGAATCTTTAATTAATAAATGATCCCTCGGAAGCCACGTAACGGCAAAAATTCTCAGTAATTTCCCAGTGGTGGCAAAAAGATGCACATTGCATTTGGATTTTGGAATGTCCACAGATGGGAAAAGACAACACAAATTTTGACAAAATCTGTCAAAAGGACAGCAAGAATTCCATTCTGGGAAGTTTAAAATGTAAGGGCTCTTCCGGTTGCTCCTCAGTGAGATCAAATGTGGATTTTCATTCAGTGAATAAAGAATGTCCCGGCACCCTCTGCAGCAGAGAGAAGTTAAAGTGTGAGATTCTGCGAACAGTCATGCAGCCTTCTTATACACAGTCGCCTCTGGGTACAGGGAACATGCTATTTCAAGGTTTTGGTGAAGACACTCTGGCTCTTACCTATCGCAACTAGAGCACAGGAAGATGAGGAAGGTGATGAGGAAGAAAGTGGCGACAGCTGCCAGACTCCCCCACAGGACGACCTGCATCTGTCCCCCGCTCAGCACGCCGCCTGCAGGTCCCATGGTGGGAGCAGGGACTCGCACAAGCTGACGGAATCGGTCCTTCAAAGGTGGCGGCGTGGGGGTGCCGAGGGCTCCATCCTCCTGCAGAGAGAGAGACCAACGTGTTTGGAAAGTACTTCTCGGGTAAAGGGGCAGAATCTTGGAATTAGGTTCCCCTCCCGAGCAAGGCCTTTGAGCAAAGTCAGGGGAGTGTTTGCAGAATGCAGAACACAGCCTGGACTTGACTTGAAACCTGACTCTGGGCAAGTCCCCTCCACAGTATAGGCCTCTATTTTCCCCACCTACAAGTGACAAAATCGGGAACGTACAAGTGCCCAGCGCAGTGTTTGAAGCGATGGATATCTTATCTTGATATGTTTGGGTGACAGATTCTTTTTTATTTTTATTTTTTATTTTTTCAGCATATTATGGGGGTACAAATGTTAAGGTTAAGTATATTGCCCTTGCCACCCCTCCCCCTCAAGCCAGAGCTTCAAGCGTGTCCATCCCCCAGTTGGTGCGCATGGCACTCATTGTGTATCTATATACCCATCCCCTCCCCGCTGCCTGCCCGACACCCGATAGATGTTATTCCTGTATGTCCACTTAGGTGTTGATCAGTTAATACCACGATAGATTCTTAATGTCTTCAAACAAAGATTCCAAGTACTCTATAGCAGATAAATACATGCTCATTTTCATTCATTTTTTTTTTACCAGAATGTAAAACAATCTTTATATAGCTTTTACAAATATGTAATAATTCATCATCCCTCCCCCACCCCCACCCTGTCACCTCTTATCTCCCCGGCTCCCCAAACTTGCTGTTCCCTGAGAAGGTTTAAGGTCAGTCCACCTAATGAAACAGAACGTCTTCATAGCTACCTGCACACACAGTTATCTACTCTGAGGATGTGACTGTATTTCAGGGCTGGTTTCCACCAAGCTGCTGTGAGCGCCCAAGAAACGCATTTTCAAATGAATGGATGAAAGTATGTGCTAGGAATACAGCCTCAGCAGTAAACAAGACTCATTCATAAACAACTACACATGAAGCATAAGAGCTTTTTTTTTTATTTGTTTTGAGACAGAGTCTTGCTTTGTTGCCCAGGCTAGAGTGAGTGCCATGGTGTCAGCCTAGCTCACAGCAACCTCAAACTCCTGGGCTCAAGCGATCCTGCTGCCTCAGCCTCCCGAGTAGCTGGGACTACAGGCCGTGCGCCACCATGCCCGGCTAATTTTTTCTATATATATTAGTTGGCCAATTAACTTCTTTCTATTTATAGTAGAGACGGGGTCTCGCTCTTGCTCAGGCTAGTTTTGAACTTCTGACCTTGAGCAATCCACCCCCGCCTTGGCCTTCCAGAGTGCTAGGATTACAGGCGTGAGCCACCATGCCCGGACAGCATAAGAGCTTTACCGAGTACACTTTAGCACCTGGGATGTACCAGGGATTCTGCTAAATGCCTTCCTCATCCAATCACTGCCACCACCCTGCGCTGGAGACACTGATAATCCCTCTTTCTCGGAGAAGGAAGCTCAACCCAGCAGAGGGGTAAAGACCCCTAAGTGTCTCAGGAGCTAAGTGGCAGGGTAGGTTGAGCCCGGCTGTCTCTGACTCCAAAACCTGTGCTCTCAGCCCCTTATGGAAGCTGCTCCTCACTGGGGGTGGGGGGAGGGGAGGGACCAGGACTCAGGGGGCTACTGCTGCCCCCTGTTCCAGTTGCAATGCTTCTAAATGGAAACGGCCAGATTTCTTCTGTTAAATATTAAGAGTTACAGAGCAGTAGATCAAATTAACAATTACCTGCCACGAGAGAGGCCTTGTTTAAAGAACAGCTGCTTTGCTCAATCCTAGAACATTCTAAATGAAAAGGAACAGCCTTTAACTTAATGTCGAGTGTCATGAATAAAGCAGATAAATATGTGTGCCTTATGATAATGACGCGACATTTTTCTTGAAAAAGACCGTCGATGTTTACATTCTCGTTGGCTTCACCGGCAGGTGACTATATTCAGCCGTCGCTGAGTGCTGATGACATCAGGACAGCACGAGGGTGGCCTCACAGCAAACCAGAGCATGCTGGGAAGGGAGGAAGTAAAAGCCATTCCATTCCAGCAGAGGCAGCTCAACAGGACCGAACTAGCTACAGGCGAAACCATCATCACATTTATTTGAATATTCCAAGTTGAAGGGTAATAAAAAACTGAAAAAGAGGAGCTTTTTATCTATAATGTATGCAGAGAGGATTCTGAGATGAAGGTGATCGTTTTCCTTAGTTTTTGAGTCAACATGAACATCTTCTAATGCCCTATAACTACATAAATATAAAACTTCCTGTGTAACCTAGAACTTTCTTCCTGTGATTATATATTATGCTTGTGAACACTGTAGGCATATGGTGATAAAAAGTCAGATGACTTTTGCGTGTGTGCTCCTGGACAGCTGTATCTGAATTAGAATAACCATCCCCTATGACTTGTTGATACAAGAATAATTCACTTTAAATCCAGACTACGGGGCCGGGCGCGGTGGCTCACGCCTGTAATCCTAGCACTCTGGGAGGCCGAGGCGGGCGGATTGCTCGAGGTCAGGAGTTCGAAACCAGCCTGAGCAAGAGCGAGACCTCGTCTCTACTATAAATAAAAAAGAAATTAATTGGCCAACTAATATACATAGAAAAAATTAGCCGGGCATGGTGGCGCATGCCTTGTAGTCCCAGCTACTCGGGAGGCTGAGGCAGGAGGATCACTTGAGCCCAGGAGTTTGAGGTTGCTGTGAGCTATGCTGACGCCATGGCACTCACTCTAGCCTAGGCAAAGTGAGACTCTGTCTCAAAAATAAATAAATAAATAAATAAATAAATAAATAAATCCAGACTACGAATTGGCACCACAGTACGTTTTTAACATATGTTCAAGCAAGCACTTACATCACGGTGACTGATGAAAATATATGTAATAAAATTTTATATAAGGGTCCAAAGCATAAACATTTTAAGAAGCACAGAAAAAAAGCTATGTATCTCTTGAACAGGCGTTTGTTTGTTCCTTCCTTCATTCACACAGATTGATCAATGCTTATTTATAAATTTTTTGTTTGTTTGTTTGTTTTTTTGAGACAGAGTCTCGCTTTCTTGCTCAGGCTAGAGTGCTGTGGCATCGGCCTAGCTCACAGCACCCTCAAACTCCTGGGCTCAAGCAATCTTCCTGCCTCAGCCTCCCGAGTAGCTGGGACTACAGGCATGCACCACCATGCCTGGCTAGTTTTTTTCTACATATTTTTAGTTGTCCAGCTAATTTTTTTCTATTTTTAGTAGAGATAGGGTTTCACTCTTGCTCAGGCTGGTCTTGAACTCCTGACCTTGAGCGATCCTCCCTGCCTCGGCCTCCCAAAGTACTAGGATTACAGGCGTGAGCCACGGCGCTCGGCCCAAAAGTGCCAGGTTCTTTAAAACTAGTTTGCCGTGTGAGTTATTCAAAAGTCAGCGATCCACCCAGCCAGCCTAGCATGGGATCTCTAGCACCTCTCTGCACGTCTGCTTGTTTCTCTTCTTTTTTCTCTTCCCCATCTCTTAATGGAAGAGGCCAATAGCATATCATGACCTGTGTGGGGAGCCCGGCCTCTTAGGACAGTGCAGGGAGAAAGAGGAGGAAAGGGGATTATTACAAGCTACTGAATAAAGGCTGGAACTCAGAGAAGACGTGTCAAAACTCCTGACTCACTCCCCTTCAACTAGAATTTTCTGAAAAGCCACTTTGGGAAAGATGTTTCCCAAAGTTCTCACCGGGGACAAAAATCTCACAATGAATGGAGTGACTATCATCTGGTCCACGTGTCTGAGTCAGATACACTGTGGTCCCTGGGGACAAGGGCAGCTCCCACCTATCTGACCCTCTAAGTGCCACTCTGCAGGGGGTCCCTGGTGACACCAGTTGCAGGGGTGGTGGCAGCGCTGGCAGGTTGAATGGTTGCAGTGGCAGCTAATGCTGCCTACATCCCCTTTAGAAACCTGGTAGGGTGTGTGTGTGTGTGTGTGTGTGTGTGTGTGTATCTGCACACACATGACCTCTGATGACCTCACAGCAGACCTCCCAAGTGGGATTACTCCAGTTTCAGAGATGATCTGAGCTCTGCTACTCTTCTCTCCTGGTCTCCTCCTTTCATTTTGAATTTGCGTCTCCATAATTCTGCCACTGCCGCCTGTTCCTTCTCTAGCTATCTCCTTATATTTTGGAAGCCCGTCCACAATTCAGCCAAGACTGCCCCCCCCACCTCCTGCCCCCATATGTATAGGCCGCCCCTCCCCCACACGTGGAGATGGGCCGCCCCTCCCCCATGTGTGTAGATACACACGTATGATTTTTGTGCTCTACCTTCCTGGAGGGCCTGAGGGAAGAGGCCTCATGTGGATGGGCCAGGGCTCTTCTGCCGAGGCTGGACCCTCATCATGAACTGGTTTTACTGCCCCTGAATGAAATACTTAGGAGTCCTCAATTTGTGTATTTTCAGCAGTGGCAGGGAATGGGGGTGGAGGTGGGGGAGGGGTACCAGTGTCCTTCCCTATGGCCTGAAGGCTTCTCTCAGGATTACTGACAGGAGGAGAGAATCAGAGGAGATGAGGCAAAGTATCTAGGAAGTAAAAAGTTGCCCTGAAAAGGAGGGGCTTGACGCAATGATGGCATTTTCCAGAACGTGCACCGTGCCAACCAGGCTCCCTGTGGCAAAAGTCACCCAAGGCTACACTGTCCTGTGACACTGTTACTGGCCCATGAGGAACACCTTAGTTTTTGCTAATTCCTATACCAAATAAGACAGGTTCTGACTATTTGGAATCATCTCTACAAGCAGAAATATCTGAACAGTTATGGGAAGCATCTCTCATAATTTTTTTCATGGAGACATTTAAGTATATTTTCCTTAATTCTGTTCTTGCCTGATCCAATAAACTTGCATTCAACTACAGAATATTATCTTTTCAGAATTTAAAAAATATTCTGTTGTCAGAACACATGTATAAATATTCTTTGAGTTATTCAACATAGGGCAGAGAAGGGCCATTTATTTATTTATTTATCTATTTTAGAGACAGGGTCTTGCT